GTGCAAAAATATTTGATTCCCCCAGTGGTGACACTCCTCACCTTGAGTACAAAATTCACAACAAAAAATCATGGGAAGAAAGTCAATTGATGCACTGAAATTCAGTGGGTGTACAGGTTTTTCAACAGTTTAATACCTGTGCAGAATAACAATCAAGCAAGTCTTGCCCTATGCTGAAGATCAGATGACGACTGCACAGGTGAATGTTTGTACTTCACAGACGTACATAGAATACACAGATCAACGGTATTTGATCACTTGCTATGAACTAATACACTGGCCTATTATGGCACAGTATGACACAGCCTCTTCCTGAACTGTTGTTCAAGTTAGGAAGACATCAAATGTTCATTAAGTATGCAATCCTTTCAGTACAGTTGAACAAATAATCTGTACATAATACTAAGAATCCTGTAGCTCAGTGGTTAGAGCACTCGCTTTGAAAGCGAGAGACCTGAGTTCAATTCCAGGCAGGGCGAAACCTTGGGCAAGTTTCCTTACTCCACACAGAGCCTAATAATAATCCCTCCAAAACCAAAAACAATAATAAATTGGTCATTTTCAATCTACCACTGTTTGTGGGACATTGCTGTGCGCAATTGGCTGTCGCGTTCGCCCACAAATATACAGTCAATTCACTTTACAGTGTATTCTGTGAAGCGCTTTGGGACGTCTTCCTGACGTGAAAAGCGCTATATCAAATGCAAGGATTATTATTATTATTATTAAGGCTCCTTCAATGATTTAGTTGGCAATTGAACCACATGGTTCAATGTGTGTCACACAACCCAGGAAGTTTCAATTCTTGATCTATCATTGACTTCATCAGGCAGTGAGTGCACCATTACAGCCTCAGAATTGGGCCCCTCATCCCTAAGGTAGCAACAACAACTTTCGTTTATAACAGCCTTCACGTGGGATAGCGTCCCGGAGCACTTAACAGTGGTGGAGTCTGACCCTAACCCCAGAGTCTAAGCACGATCAAAAAGGTCTTTAGGCGGGATTTGAAAGTGGAAAGGCGGAAGGATTGGGGGAGAGAGTTCCAGAACTTCGGGGAGAAGTGACTGCCGAAGGTGGAGCAGCGGGGGAGAGGGCGAACAGAAGGCCGGAGCTGGTCGAGTGGAGGCAGCAGGTGGTGGAGTGGGGGGTGAGCAAGGGGGTGCGAGGGCATGAAGAGATTTGAAAACGACCTGATACGACCTAGCTTCCACGTCAAGAATGGATCCTTAGATGAGCAACCAAAGACCTACTGACTTCAATAAAGAATTATAATTTGTATTAAATTGTGGATTGTTTTGTGCTGTCAGTCATATGGAGTCATAATCTAACATTTCATCAACTTCAAGAGAGGAAATATTTCTCCTACCCTCCCCTATTTTTTCCCTGAAGAGCTCATTGCCACCTCTCTAATACTGCTTTTACATTAGGTTTTCCCTACTGCCAAGATTCAACTAGTAGTCAGATCAGCTGTTCCCATCTGAAGCACAATCTGAAAGGCAAAAGGCCACTCTGGAGGCAAAAGGCTGATTGTTTGTATCCCTTCAGACTGAAGTCTTTGAAGAAATTACTTTAGAAAACGATAAAAGTCAAGAATCTTCAAAATGTAGAGGCGGTGCATCCTGGATATCTGGATCACTAAAGATGAAAAATGTGTTTTAACTCAGGTATTGAACTTGGGACCTTGCTCATCCCCATATAATCCAGTAACACATCTCATTGTGCACTTATTCAAAGATTTAGAACTCTATATTTGTTCAATTGGTTATCTGATCAAATTAACGCAATTTACACACACAGTGTGGGATCTTGGTGTTGCATACATTTTGCATGGTATCACATTATGCAAATACTAGTCATTTGATGCAAACAATAATACAATTCCTGCCACTTTTATCATAAAACATGATCTTGAATCTTTTTAACAAGTGACCGCAAAGCCTCAAATAATTTTACTGTAGGAAAGAACGGGGGTGGGGGGAACTTACTGCAACAAAATTACAGTTCATTGTAACTACATAGACCACAAAGTCTACCACGCCAATGAATTATCTTTATAATACAGATGTGAGAATATCTTGCCATTTTGAATCCAGAATTATAACCTTTTTTGTAAGTAAGGGTTACATTTCAAAAACTACAAGCACATGACTAGATCAAATAATTTTCAAGGTTGCTGTACAGATACATGGTAATAACAAGATTTTATGAAATAATAGGGAAATGTCACCATTTTTATAATATGGATAAGCTATGAATGGAACAGCATCTAGCTTGCAATCAGGGAAATAAGCCAACAGCAGTTTGTATCAACATAATAAAGGCAGTCAAGAACAGTCAGATGCCACTGACAAAATTCCAAACCAACAACATACCTTTAAAATAACAATGAAGATGGGTCGGATAACTGGGAAAGAAATGTATTGGCAGGGGTTTGGGGAGCTCAAGAGGGGAAAAAAGTTCTCATGGGTTATACTATATTACACATTTTTCAAAAATATAATGATTACACATTTGGCTTTATACTAAAGAGTCTGCAAATCAACAGTACTTAATTAATTATTATTAGTTATTAATTAATAATAATTAATAATTAATTATTATTGGACTCATGTTCAACAGATGATTTATTCTATTCCTCAATCAACCTATTCAATGGCACTGTTTTAAAAAAATTTCAACAGATTATTATTCTGTTAATATACCAAAAAACAAAACAATTGTAACTCAAAACCCACTTGTAGCTGTCACACATCTGTATGTACTTTTAGATCGAAAGATCACTGTAATTCTCAATGAATACAATTTTTGAAGAGATCAGAGTGTCAATTCAAGAAAATGTCACATAATTTGATTCACTTCTAATATTAGCTTATTTGATTTACAGAAGACATGATGGATGGGTAGCAATGGGTTATTGTGTTAGATCACTCATGGAATATCCCACAGCTCTTCATTATCCATGTATCCCCGATTTGTGCTTATTGTTAGCAGCCTGCTCTGTTTTTACAACTAATTATCACAGCATGATAAACGCATTAAATAAATTCTCTGGAGACTTCTAAGATTGGACTGAGATGTGCTATTGGAATTGTTACTGTAAAAGCATCAGTTGTAAAATTTTTGTAGTACAACCAGCTTTAGTTATCTGGTCGGAAAGTTGCATTTTATCGAATCTAAATATTTTCAAGCTACACCTAGTGCCAAACTTGGACCTCACGAAAGAATCCCCCCAAGTACGAAAATATACACAAGTAAGTCACTCCACTTTACAGTATCAACAAGTGTGAAGCACTTTAAGATGTTCTTCCAGTGTAATAAGGTGCTAAAGCAAATGCGAGGATTATTATTATTAATTATTATTATTAATATAATACTCACTTTTGAGAAAAGCATTACCCTGAGAGGTAAGTCACATATACAGTAGGAACACAATATCATGCTCTAGTGAAATTGCTTTGATGGGCAACCTTAGAAAACTTTACAATTTTTTTTGTAAAAGTTCTGATTTCGAGAGAAGAAATGAACATAGCAAATTTCTAACAGTGCACCCCAACTTATTTTTTGTAAAGAAAAACAATTGGCCACGAAGGTGCCTTGTTACTCCAAGTCTGTAATCCTTGGGGGGGCAATAAAGTCAAATGTTAATTTAAATTGTTTGAATCGGGCCAGACAGAGGCGGAGGAACTTCACTCTCGTCTTGGGGACAAACTCGTCGATTTACTCCTTGGAAACCAACTTTTAACTTAGCTTTAAAATGTGCAATTCACAACACGTCTCGTCTTTTTTTTAAAAAAAAATATGCTTTTAAGAATTCGATCTTGCTGAAGGGCAGCTTGAATATTTAATTCAATGACACGAAGAAAAATTAAAACTTATTTATCGTGTGCCAGCCTAATCCAAGAGGCTCTCTTGGTACAGATTCCCCCCCCCCCTCCCCCCCCACACACACACACACACAGTGAACGGATGGCTTAAGTGTTCTCGCAGGAAATTATGGTAATGAAAAAACACGCAGCATCAGAATTAAAGACCGTCTGCTCAAAGTGCTGTGAAAAGTTTGTCAGAAATCCCTCTCAACTTTGTGTGCGTGTGTGTGTGTGTGTGTGCGGATTGGGGTGGGGGGGGGGGGGGGGGGAGAGAGAGAGAAAACTCCACTGAAGCAACCCGGAGATGCCAGTTTTTTGACAATCGCAAAAGCTGGTGGCGAAGCAGCTATGGGGAACGTTTTTAAAGAGAGAATTCGCGTCTGCAATTTCCACGGGTTTCGTGCACATTCCCGGCGTTCTCAGGACGAGCTCCGCCAGACAGACTGCAGCGGCGGCTCCTGCTCTGCTCTGCTCTGCTCTGCTCCTCGCCGCTCGCCCGCTTCACTGTTATCACAAACCGGCTCGAAACTTTACAACTAAAGCGTCGTTTTCTCAGAGCGGTTTACGGGGGTGGGGGGGAGGGGGGGGGGCGGGAAGGTCTTACCGGATTAAATAAGGCAAATATCCTCTTCTGTAGCCGTCACGGTGTACTTTTCCTCTCTTTTTTTGTGGGGGGGGGGGGGGGGTTGTGTCCCTCTGCCCTGTCACTGAGACGCTCGAGCTGCCAACTGCCGCCGCCGCCGCTGCTGCTTCAACTGACAACATCCAGGCGAGCGCTCGCTCTGCGATCCTCCGAGCCCCAGCTCGCTCCCGTCGGGCCCGCAATGCGCCTGCGCCCCGCCTCCCCAAAGCGCTCGCGCACCGCCCCCCCCACCCAGGTCCTTTTCAAAAAAAACCGAAGAGCTCGAGCTTCTGACCCAAGACAAACCGTCGTCAGCGAGGAGAACTACATGTCCCGGCATGCAGCACTCGCGCGTCTCGGCGGCTCCGACTGTCGAGTGAACGCTGGGTGGTGTAGTTCTGAACCGACAAAACTTGAAGACGCATCTTTTACTTCACCCAATATTCATCTTTCCCCCAACTCTTAATGAAGGAAAAAAAAACAGAGACCGGGTGGAGTTAAAGTGCCGTGCCGTTAAGTGGATGTGCTTTGGGAGGGAGACATTTTTCCCCAGGTCAGATCATTGGATTACTAAATGAGATTTTATGTGGAAAGGTAATAGTTAACGGATTTTTTTTATAAAAAATAATCGGTCATATTGAAGTTAATTTGCTTAAAATTAAAAACACAGAGCAAAGTGCGCAGACGTTTACTGAAGACGTTTAGTCTGGACTACGTTTTTCCTCCACCCCCCCCCCCCCACAAAAAAAATCTTTCAAAATACTAAATACAGAACAAAATACAATTGTATAAAGTTCAGGTTGCGCTGTCCAAACTTAGTCTGGTGATCCACTTGACAAGATCTTAGAAGTATTGCCACCTCACCCCCCCCCCCCCCCCCCCCCCCAGTGCCCCTTGAACAAATCTTTTCAAGGAGGGCTACAAAAATCAGTGGAAAAATGGAAACGAGAGCCATATACCTTTGAAACAAAATCCAGAGAAGTTGATGTAATATGTATGTCTTGGTGTAAACGTATTTGACAAACGTCATGTTTGGGGTGAGAGAAATGAGCCATAAATCGGTTGCCTTCATTCCAAAAATCATTCGTTTCAGCACTGGTCGCGCCAACTGCACTTCAGAGGTGAATAAATTACAGGGGGCTTATGTAATTTTTATTTCCCTTTAAGATGTTTCAACGTCATGACATCCCTCCTCCTTTTCTCTATGAGCGATGCATGGTTTATCCTGCAAAAACTGTACCTCTGTAGCCCTATCATCCTCGACGCTGTAACCTGTATGGTTCTATAAATCATTGTGTACTTTGAATCGGTTGACATGCTCGGCCCCTAATTCTCTCTGTGAACGCCGAGTTCCTTCCCATCCACCGAGTGAGGGCTTAAACCTGCACTTGTCAGATGTCTAATGATCAACTGGTGACTTACCTCCTGGAAGGGAGTGGGGGGGAGGAATGTATATGTGTGATCTTGACTCCGAAGTGAAGTGCTTGGCATTGGAATGTCAGATTCGAGTCAATCCTCGGTGGCAGTCTTCTTGGTCTGATCCCCTGAGCCATGTGAATCCCCCCACCCCAGCACTCCAGGGCACCGGCCAGCAGAATTTGGAGGGGCATACTGGGGGCAGGGATGCTTTCCACTCAGCTTCGGTTGACCCTGCAAGGGAAAGCCCAACAGGTCGGGTGGCCCAAGCTGGACAAACAGTGGGAAGCTTCCTAGACAGTGATTTCAGTAGTGTTTGAATAGCTTTCAATAGCTTCCTTTGGATGAGACATTAAACCAATGTCTGGCCTGTCTGTTCAGGTGGATGTTAAAGATCTGATGGCATGTTTCAAAAAAAGAAAGGTTTTTTTTCCCAGTGTCCTGGCCAACAACCTCCTCCTCCCCAACCCCCCAAAAAACTGATTTGAATTCAGTTGCTGAAATGCAGCCTGTTCACAACTGCATCTGGAGTAACCAAATCAACTTTCTATAATTTTCTGTTTTCCCCAACATTCCTGAAGGAAGTGACTCATGTACTCTGTATATGCCCTCTCTTTTTCCATGAATTTCCCTTTCCTCAATCACTTCACCCTTGGAATTTCACAATGGAAAATATATTTCAGATGATTCCATGGGTATTTGTTCTACATGACAAGCGGGTTCCTACTTACTGCTAGGTAAACAGAGGTGTGTGGAGAAAGGAGACTTGCCCAACATTTCGTCTTGCCTGGCAATCAAACCAGCATCTGTTGCAAGGATCATTACCATCATAGTATTGTACAGTGGAAATAATTTAATGAAAATTTCTTTTTAGAATGAATCAGTGTGCTGTTTCTAAAGAAATGTGCTTTTTGATTCAGGAAACAGAAAGACTGCTATTCTTCAAATAAATAATCCAGTTCAGATGGTTTGGTGATTCAACTAAATTAAAGAAAAATGACTCGTTACAAAAGCTTTCTACCAAAAGGGAAATTAAAATGAAAACAAAAGTCCTATGATAATTTAAGAAAGAACAACCAAATTGCCACTGCAGTGTCATTAACATTCTAATTACATGTCTGGAATCTAATAGCTGAATAAACAGTTCGCTGACAAGCAGCATAGATGTAAAGCATTCCTTCACATTCATGTGAATATAGAAAATTAGCACATTAGAGTGTTCTATTGTTTAAGTTCAGCACATTTTATGGGAAAACCAGCATTTGTTTGGTTTTGATGCTGTATTTTTAACCCAACATGTCAATGCAATAGATTTTTGGGGGGATTGTGATTTTCTATTTTGTTATCGGTGTTAAGTATACAGCAGTAGCAAATACTGTTGCAAGAAATTAGTTCAAGCATTAAGGAGCAGCTGGTAAAATCCCTGTGACTTGCTGGTAATTTGCTTACTGAAATAAAATGTTACCAGGAATATTTATAGTTGCAAACATTTTAAATGATAAATTTTACAGAAAATGTACTTTTATTTGTTGGCAAGTGAGGAGAAGGTCACAAACACACTGAAAAGATACTGGAGAGAATTCAAGGAATTTCTTTAACAATATAAGTACTGTATTTAGACAGACATAAATAGCCATACAAGGAAATCCATAATGAAGGCACATTTGATCATTTTCATCATTATAACAATGTGTTCAAGAATTGTCAAACATGTATACATACAGATAAACAGGAAAACTAATGTGTGTGATAATAAAAATAACAAAAAAAAACCATCAATCACTAACTTGATGGTTAAATGCACATCATGGTGCAACACTCAGCTAAACAGGCCAAAAATGTTCCAGGTACTTAGTCGCCTGATCTCAGCCAAGGTAGCAGTAGGACTGTTAGATTTGTGAGCTTGGCTTACTTGGTAGCACTAACACTCTCGGGTCAAAAGTTGAGTTCAAGCCCTTTGTTCTTGAAGTCTAGATTGCTACTGTGGAACATTGCATTTTTGGAGGTACCATCTTTCAGATGAATTGTCAACAAAGACCCTGTCTGCCTGTTCAGCTAGACTTCAAAGATCCAATAACAATATTCAAAAAGAGAAGTTTCTCAGCTTTAAAGCCCTTCATGGTCATGCTCCTCCCTACCTGTTACCTATTAAAACTTCACCAACCTGATTTCAAGACAATTCCATTATAATATGCCTTGGTATAGCACAGATCTGCTTCTAGCATAGGACACCAAAAATACGGTACTCTTCTGGTTTCCAGCGCTGACTACATACTTCAAACTCAATGACACCTTGAAGACCCAGAAGCACCTTAATTATCCAGGCACTCTCACCGGCAGTCATTTTTATAGCATGCCTAATTATAACACATGGTCTGGCTTTAAGAACCCAAGCCACCTTGTAATAATGGGGTCAGCCTATCATGAGCTATGCAGAAAATGGTTGCAGCATTTGTCAACAAAATAAGTTATGACATGGGAATGTGTGAAACACAGAGGCATTTCAATGTGAATGTAAATCAAATACAAATATTATTAAAGGTTGGACTTGGCATTCCTCGACTCAGGAAGGGAACAATTGGCCAAGGTTCCCATTTGTAATTGGTATCCAAAGTACACATATATAGACATTGGGCAAGGACAAAATCAAGATTGCTTGTGATAGCCAACTGACAAGTTAACCTGCCAACACTCACTATCTAGTTTATACATAAGAATCACTATCTGGGCGATATACCAGAGAGCTGTCATTATCCATTGAACCACTCAACAACATTCCCTCGGAGCAGCACCTCCATAATACTGTAAAAGTAGACTCTTTGGGTGGGGGAAGGGGAAAAGATACACCTCTATTTTTTCCCTTCTCCCTGTAGCATACACCTGTTTGCTGCAGGGATCTCTTCCAACTCAACAGGAATTATATCCCATTCTGTCCTTCCTCAACAGATACAACTTTCCAATAGAGTGTCTGATCAGACATAATTCCCTATCACCTTTGGCCACAAGAGTATTTCATGTATCGTACATACCTCCTTGGCTGTGAAATGTTGATTTCACGTTAATAACACTTTTGACAAGTGAAGAACAAATTACACGAACATTGACTGAAATATGCAATTTATTTCCTTCTCTCAAGTGGCAAAATAACAGTAAATGAACCGTTGCACTGAATATTAATCCATGTAGCGCAGGAAGAACTTCACTGAATCAGCTGATTTTGAGGATAGCAGTTGGTAAACCTCAGCTGGGTGGAAAACGGCAAAAAAAAATTGAGCCATGATCCTAACTACTGATGCAACTTGAAATATAGGCTTTTGTCAAAAAAGATAAATTGAAATAATTACAGATTTAGCTTTAGCTCTAGAAATATTAACTAACTGTATCGGTTATTTAATCTATTATGGACTAAAACAACCTGGGTAGCTTCAAACCCCTTCCCCCATCCCCACTGCACTGCAGTAAAATCTTCTCAAAAGGCGAATACAATTCGAACGGTTCTCGCTACTTAAATTCATACGACCCAAATACTTAAAATATTTAGGATTAAAAAAAATACAATTCAGCAATAGAACCGCGTCAATATTTAGCACTTTTTGTGTTTACGAACTTGGGCTAACTTTAATACATTAAAAACCCGCACACTTGCTCCGTGCATCCCTTTCCTTCTCGTCGTTGGAATCAATTTAGAACTCGCGCAGCACTCTGGAAGTGTAGTTTTCGGCGCTCCATTGGGCGCTTTGAAATGAAGCTGAAGCGTGTCCTGAACTTCAACTCCCGACGTGCGCTGCGACACAATCGAGAAAACCCTGTGGTGCCTTCCGCAAATACAAAATAGGTCAACGGCGCCTTTAAAGTGCAACATTGGTTTTCAATAAAAAATTACAATTTTCAATGAAAACATAAAATTCTTCGTATTTGAATTCCCCTCATTGTAATAGCTTACTTCCTTTACACGAGATTTAAGGTAGTCCCTGTGGTTGGCGGACTGATTGGTCTGTCGCGACGCTGGTAAAGTGGTGTCAGAGGGATTCTCGCCATTTTGTTCATTTGTGGAACCCCCCCTATAAGGAGCAGGGTGCAGCCAATAGTTGGAGCTGGGCTGTATTCAGGTCAGTGTGAGTGTGGGTATAACAGGCA